TTTTCGGGGGGGGGGGGGGGCGATAGTACCCAAGCTCCTGAGGATGCAGAGCTTGGGGCAGGACTGAAAAGACTGATTGTCAGTGTGGAGGAAGACCATTTTAATTGTGTGGGCTGCACACTGCACTCCAGAGGCCTCTCCTGTCCACGAGTCTGCCCTAGAGACCTCTCCTGTCCATGAGTCTGCTCCAGAGATGGTGGCGTCTACTGCAGAACCTCTACAGTCTGCCCTGTCACGTCCAAGAAGGTCAAGTCACCTTTATTTATATAGCGATTTTAACAATACGGATTGTGTCAAAGCAACTGTACAGCATTAATTAGGAAAATAGTGTGTCAATAATGCAAAATGACAATAGTAAATGCTCAATTTTCTGTTAAAGGAAGTTCATCATTGAATTCAGTGATGTCATCATCCAGCTCAGTTCAGTTTAAATGGTATCTGTGGAATCAAGTCAACGATATCGCTGGAAATGAAGTGTCCCCAACTAAGCAAGCCAGAGGAGGCAGCGGCAAGGAACCAAAACTCCATCGGTGACAGAATGGAGCAAAAACCTTGGGAGAAACCAGGCTCAGTCGGGGGACCAGCTCCCCTCTGGCCAGACGAAACCAACAGTTCAATTCCAGGCTGCAGCAAAGTCAGATTGTGCAGAGGACTCATCTGGTTTCTGTGGTCTTGTCCCGGTGGCCATCTAGGAGACAAGGTCTTCACTGGGGATCTGTTGCCCTGATCTCCGCTGACTTTCAGGGCTGTAGATGTCCTCTCTAGGTGCTGATCCACCATCTGGGCTGGATACGTACTGGATCCGGGTGACTGCCGTGACCATCTGATCTTGATACAGATTGGATCTGGTGGCTATGGTGACCTCGGAATAAGAAAGAAACGAACTAATATTAGCGTAGATGCCATTCTTCTAACGATATAGGAAGTTCATCGGGTGTTATGGGAAGTGTTCCCAGTTCTGGTTTTCCTAATTAATGCAGCCTAAAAATCCTTTAACGGATTTGAATATTAGAAATGTGTTAGTGTGTTGTGTAAACCAGGTTAAAGGGATTGATCTTTAATCTAGATTTAAACTGACAGAGTGTGTCTGCCTCCCGAACAATGGTAGGTTATTCCAGAGTTTGGGCGCTAAATAGGAAAAGGATCCAGTAGCCCGCGGTTGATTTTTATATTCTAGGTATTATCAAATTACCAGAGTTTTGAGAACACAGCAGACGTGGAGGACTATAATGCAATAAGAGCTCGTTCAAATAGTGAGGTGCTAAACCATTCAGGGCTTTGTAAGTAATAAGCAAGATTTAAAAATCTATACGATGTTTAATCTGTTAACCCGCACCTGGATGTTGGTGCACTGAACGCTCTTTGTTTGCACATGTCAATGTTTATGAATAGATTAAATGAAAATGGACATAATTCATCTTGACAAACTATATATCATTCTAAAGGTCTAAGCCTCAAGCATCAACAATAGATCGCAGTGTTTCAATGGAAAGCTTATAACGAATGTATTTGCTAAATTTGTGTAAGCAGTACACATCAAAACATGCATAATCAAAATGCAGTACATACCAGATTCATCGTAATAACGAGTCATAAACGCATCCACAACTGTCAGGCTTGTGTTGTGTTTTGTTCCCCATGTGCTCCCTGTGTCCCAGTGGTTATGCCCATATTTGGTTAGTTTCCGGTTCCTGTCCTGATTATGTTGATTTCATTCCAGATGTTCCCCGTTTATTTCCATTGATCCCAGGTGTGTCTCATCATCCCCTTCTCTTGTCATGTGTTTAAATAGTGTTCCCGGTTGTTAGTTCAGCGTCCAGTATTGTTCATTTCTACCTGTGCTACGTGAGTTTTCTGTGTTTCCTTTATGTAATTCAAGTTCTCTGGATTGATGTACTCCTCGTCTCCCAACGTTCCTTGCTCCGCACTCCACTCAGTAGTGCAACAGTGAAAACTAGACATATGCCTTGTCCAAATACTTGCGGTCTTTGCACTTGATCACTTGACTACTTCTATGAC